TTAGCTTCAGGATCTTTTCATACTGCAAGAGAAGAGCAACACCCAGGTCCATCAGCCCCAGGGGAGCCTGCTCCCGGAGCACACGGCACGGTGCAGAATGATCACTGAGCCCTCGCTGAGCAGATCCCCCACGGGGCAAGCAGAGCCAGGGTAAGGCCAACACTTCCACAAGCGGCGCCTGGTTTCGGGTGCACTTGGAGTCAATAGGAGCGGTGGGGGCTCAGCACTTCTGAGTAACGGGGCTGAGGTGTCTCAAGGGGGGGACCCAAATTATTAGAAGCTGCTGGATTTAGCCTAAGTAACTTGCCCAAGGCCACATGGGTGATCGGGGACTAGGACTCCTGGGTTCCTGGCTCCCACTAGCCCAAGCTGCCTTCACAATGGGGGGGTACAGGATGGGCCATTCCCACTGGCCACTAGTGCTCCAGGCATGTCCTACAGGGAACCTCCACGATCCAAACAACGGGTCAGCTGCTGTCTGCGATGGGTGTTACAAATGGCTCAGCCTCATGTCCTCGAGCGGATAAACCCCCTTGCTGGGAGACCTCAAGGGAATCTGTGTTGTCAACCACCGGCCATTCCCCTAGCGATGGCAGGGCCAAGGGGTGGATGAGGTGAAGCAGACCACACAAGACCCTTAGAGAAACAGACATTAATACTTACTAGTAAGTACTTAGCAGCCATACGGCCCTTTCCACCAGCAGATCTCCCCGATGGGGGAGTGTCACTGGCCTTATTTTACAGATAGGGACACAGGCTTTAGGCACCCTGCCCAAGATCAGTGGCAGAGCTGGGAATAAAACCCAGGTGTCCTGACTCCCACTCTGATACACCTCTCCCCCCCCACACCACCGCACTGCCTGCCCTGAGGCCAGCCAGCTCGACATGGCCCACACCACTCAGCCAGGGGGAGGGGAGACTTGAGTCTCTGCGATCGATTGCTGGAGCCCTGCTCAGCGGGGCTGAACGTGGGAGAAGAACGCCCTTCACTTACATCAATCCCCTCTCCCTGCAGGTCCTTGAGCACCTGGCCACAGATGAGCTTCAGCTTCACTGAGGACTGGAAAGGAGAGAGCAAGAAAATAAAAACCCCCGGCAGCGCTGGGCCCGGTGGGCACTGCCTGGCAGGAGTCTGAGCTTCCCTCAAAACACACGCTCTCTGCCACATCAGGGGGACCCATTTCAACCTTGCCCTGCCTCAGCCAAACAGCCACTGGTTTGGGTTGTTTTTAAACCACTCGCTTCTCTGCCACTTTGGGGAACACCATGGTTTGGATTCCACAAAGAGACTCCCTGAGTTTTGGATGCAACGGTCAGGCTAAAGCCCCAGCCAGCTCTTGTGCAGCATTGAGTGTATTGCTCGAGCCCTCAATCAAAACCTGTTCTACGTACCTCCCGAGCCTCTCCCCGCCCTCTTAGGGAAGCCCAGTCAGCCAGAGACAGGCACAGAGTTCATGCTGGTCGCTCAGGGACCTGAGCTCTCCCCCTTCACCAGATACCCCGAGTCCCAGAGCTCAGATCGGGATGCATCACACAGATATTCCCATTGCTCCCTCAGGCCGTAGATACCCCTCTCGACGGCCAAGGCTTCATGCTGATCGTCTGGTTTCACAGCACCCGATACCATCTGGGGGGGGGGGTTTAAGAGCAAAAATTGCTCAGACCCCAGGGTGCTGGGCACCAGATAAGATCCAGAAGAAAACAGAGAAAGAGAAAGCTTCCACTTAACTATTTTGGCCAAGGTGCTGATTTCGGCCAGGACCCAGTCAGGACAGTCCAAGTCTCCGCAGAACCGGAACCTCTGGAAGGAGATCGGGGGCAATTAGGACCCAGGCGGCCTTTGGGCCAGGGGACGTCAGCGGCAGAGTGTCCTTTGCAGGGCAGCCCAGCTCTTCTTGCCAGAGCAGGGGAACCCTCATTTCCCACCGTTATTGCTGCCCTGCCCCCACTGCACCAGAAGAGCTGTCCCTAGATTTCTCTCCTCTCTGGGTACTTGGCTGCCTTCATCTCCGGTCTCTGCTCTGGCTGAGCCTGCTGCAGAGTCGGACGGCAGCTGGGTCGATCCGGAGCTGTACAAATAACTCTCCCCCCAGGCCCTGGGTCCCCACTGTATAACGCCCCTGCAAACTCAGGCACAGCGGCTCCGTGCACGGAGGTCATCAGCCTTTGGAGCAAGCTCCTGGGGAGAACGACTGGACACAGCTGGCCAAGCGCAGCCCTGACACAAGGGGATGCAAGTGCCCTGAATTCAATGGGCTTCCCCCGGGCTGAACTAGGCCCAGAGTCTGAGAGAGAGACACTCATCCCTGGAGAAGGAAAGAGATGGACAGGGCTGGGGTGTGCCCAGAGGGATCAGTCTGATGAAGAGGTGGGGTGAAGGTGGGGCAGGGCAGACAGCCCCTTCCTGTTCCTAATAGCTACCAGTTAGGCTGCAGCTTCAGCAGTTTAACCCAGCAAATGCTGGTACAGACCATGAGCCTGCATCCAGGAGCAGCTTTTTAATACCCACTGCAGTTACACAGCAAGAGCAAGGGGACAAGTCTCTGGTATGCAGGTCCACAGGCTACAGAACCAGGCATAAGCCTCTTGGAGCAGGAGGTAGACATCTGGGTCGAGGGGAGCAGGACAGCTGATCCCCCCCCCTCGGTGTTTAACATAGACTCATAGACTTTAAGGTCAGAAGGGACCATTATGGTCATCTAGTCTTACCTCCCGCATGATGCAGGCCACAAAAGCTGACCCACCCACTTTCCCTTAACTCAGCTGTTGAAGTCTCCAGATCGTGATTTAAAGACTTCAAGTCGCAGAGAATCCTCCAGCTTGCGACCCCTGACCCATGCTGCGGAGGAAGGCGAAAAACTTCCAGGGCCTCTGCCAATCTACCCTGGAGGAAAATTCCTTCCCGACCCCAAATATGGCGATCAGTAGAACCCCGAGCATACAGGCAAGATTCTCCAGCCGGACCCTCATTTTACCAGCGATGGCACTTTATTGCCTAATTGACTAAAATCACGTTATCCCGTTATCATAGCTCTGAAATTATCCTTTCCCTTTCCATGCCCATGCCCACTTGTTCCCCTGCACATCCAGTGCTGAAGCCTGTATTACTCCCTGCTTTAGAAACACAGGTGCTGCTACAGCAGCAGCCCATCACGTCCGGCATCCTGCCCCCCCAGCCTTGGCTGCTTCGGAGGAAAGATGCATTACAAGGAGTTTTCACTTGCCCCATCCTGCAATGCAGCACTTTGGGGGGGTGGGGGTGAGGCAGGGAAGGCAGTGTTTCCTTCCTGACCCCTGCAGGCTACTGGCCTGCACCCTGAAGCATGAGATTCATTTATCCTGAGCACACTTAACTAGGAGAGGTATTAGAACTCAAAGGGCTGCCACTGTGGGTTCCCCGGGGCCAATTACCTACTGTGCAAAGGGGCAGCTCTTTCTATTTGCTCCAGTTCCTTCCCGGGCCCCCACTGATCTCAGGTCACTGGAGGGAGGGAGCAGTTTTTAAGCCAGACCCTTCACAATATTTAACCCAAACACCCCCCTTCCCCCCGCTGCACGTGTTAGGCAGCTGGTGACACTGGCCTGGCTAATCCCAAGCACTGGGCTAGCAACGGGGAGTCCTCAGGCCTGGCTCCAGCTGTGTTACCCAGAG